GAAAGGGATAGCGCACCAGAAACGAGGTGTTTTGCTTAGGTTACCTTTGTTCATATCAGTATCCTTCGTATATATCCTTTTCCAGTGCTTAACTCCATGGCTCTAATCACAAAGTGGATGGGAGTAGGGGTGTGGAGATCGGGAGTATGACTGTTGACTTATTTGGAGCCAGCAGCACTCAACCATGGGAGATCAAATTGCGTTTGTGTAATTTTTTCGCGCATTCACTTTCCATGAGCTCAAGACTATTGTGTGCATGTAATCCAACCATACACCTAGTTGTATCAGGCTTATTAACTATACTACTTCGCTCCGCCCTACCACCACTGCCACCACCGACGATGAGTAGTCTGTCAAGCTAGTAGCTGAAGTGGCCACATCAGACGGACGGAAATTTCGTCAATACCCACAGCTTCACGTATGAAATAAAAGCTATACATGCATTGACATCATCACCAACCACAACAGCAGCGCATCAGCAGTTTGAAGGGCTACTTCGTGATCATATAACCATTGCGGGACCGATTCTTCTCCACAGCAGATTCGGCCATATCCGCAGACCGCTTCAAAGCTGAGAGACAACTTGAAATCACTGCACTGCGAAAACAGACATCGCCACATTAATTCAAATACACAAAACATAAAACTTGAACATCAAACACACCAGTCTAGAATCGCCGAAGAAACCCCAGTCATCAGGAATTCAGAGAAAGCTCTTACCCTGATACAGTTACTCAGAAGAAAGGATTCGAAACGACACAAGGAAATTCAAAGCCTGCTTTTGAATGACGATATGACAAGGGGCGATATATTTCAAATATGTTAATCGTTGAATTCCTACTTTTCCGCCTTGTTTAATATTACATCATCCGCATCCTGTCCTCTAGTTTCAAGCGAAACGGAAGTGGTACTCTGTAACATCCTTTTATGTCTAAAGAACATACGGATGACTATCACATCCATCAAACTGACATTCCAGCCGGGATCTGATAGTATTCCCACTGCAGCTATAAGATCAGGTGATAAAAACGTACTTCTTATGTCAAACATTTGTAAACTGCCACTAAATACTGACTACTTCCCGCATCAATGGAAAATTTCCATAATTGTGAACGATAAATCATTCTTCCGATGTCTCTAAGGTGTTGGAAAATTTTTTCGAGAATCGGACAACTCAATTTCTGACAAGACAAAACCTACTCCGCAGTTCATGACACGCGTTCACTACAAAACGTCCCTTTGTCACATACCAAATACAATTACTTGATCATGTTACAGTAACAATTGTTTGTGACATGGTCACGATAATCATCCTACTTGATTTGCAAAAAGCGTTTGACTGTGTACCGCATAAACCATTCTTGGCCGTGCCTCACTCTTATGGGATCAGCGATCCTTTGTTGAGCCAGTTCGACTCATATCTGAACGACCGAACACAGAGTACGGACAGGTCAACATTGTCCTGCTTCCGGAAATGTCACTAGTGGTGTCGTTCAGAGGAGTGTATTGGGTCCACTGCATTTCCTCATTTACATAAACGATATGTGGTTACATTAGACACGCGCGCTCATTTTTATTTTGGAACGACATCAAACTAGTGTACTCATATCCAACACTATCTGGTACTATGCATAACAAATATACGCAAAGACAAATGGAGCGAAAGCATGTCTATGGGGCTTTCGACAGTTAACTCCCAGATACTCTGCCACAGATGCTGTATACCAGAAGGGTTCATCAGTCACTGGAACCCCAAATCCAAGCTGCTTATCCCGTTCGTGACTTAAAGTTAGATAGTGTAGCGGTTTCGGCTTTTTCAAACCTCCCATCCCACTCGTAATGGGTAGTGTAGACTACTCTTACAGAGGACCAATCAATAGATATGCCTGAAGATTTTCTGGCTGTGGCACGCCCATCTGCGAAACAAATTACCGCTGCAATTAAGGACCAACGAGAGTCTGTCCATGTTTAGATCACATTTCTTCTTTTTTCATGCTAAATGTGATCAAACTTTTTGACTTGGAGTGTTCTTATGGAATCCGGCCAGAAAAAAGCCTATGAAAAACTAACTCTCCAATGATGTTATTTATTACACGTTCCACAACACATTGCATTACTGTTCCATTTTGGATGCAAGTTCACAAATAAAATGTTGACAAAACTCGCTGTACAAACGATCGTACCACAAAAGGGAACATATCCTGCCTGTCGGGTAATATACCCATTCATTCATTTATTTACACAAGAAAAACCTTTGAAGTACTTGGCCGGCTAAAATAATTTCAAAATACTGAGGATGTGTGTTATCTAAATTGTAACGAAAGATATTATGAATAATATAATAATTCAGTGCTATAAATCACACTAGAGTGTCCTTAAAGAAGGATGCCAGCAGTAAATGTATTGCACGTGTTGCCCGTTGACATTAGAGTACGAACCCTGAACACCGCCAGAGAGACACAGCAGTGTGGTTTGATAGGAGCTGTTAATGATAAGAGTCCAGTGGGTACTTTGCGACCATAGCTGTAGAGGTAGCAGATGTTCAATGGTGCTGCAATTGCCGTCAGTTAAATTGGGATTGCAGGAGGAATATTTCAAATCGAAATAGGGAGGGGAGTAACAGAAACAGGTGGAAAAGGAAGACTCAAGGCTTCCACAGTAGTGTTTTCGCTTATCTACGCAGCACGACATAATCAGAAGAAAGAGAGCGAGAAGATAATAATCTGTGTTGCTCCATTGTAGGTGGATTGAGCACATGCGCGGAAGCACGTCGCTGATTCCTGCACGGTGGCAGCATATTGCAGTTGCACTACATCTTATCCGGGTGCGATACGCTTCCTATACCTGTAGTCCGCAAAGTGGGCGTCAAGAAATCTCTTGAATTCCGGCACCGATTTCGTTTCGACTAGCGTTTCTGGCAACTTGTTCCAATATTTCACCACTCGACGCATAGAGTGTGAGCAATGCACTTTAAATTCCGTACCCCTAGTTTGTACCGGTGTCCGCGTGTGCTGCTTGATGTACGAACGTGTAGCAGCGGCCTCAACATAGGGAAGTAGCCCAGGTGCAGTATCCGATGCGTCCTAATGAGATCAACTCGAAATCGAGGATGACAGTATAAAGCCCTAGTCTCCTACATCTGTCCTCGTACGACACACTCCGTACACTGAGGATGAGTCGGATTACCTACATGCTGGACTCGTTCCAATCTCTGCACCTCACTTATTGTGATCGGATAATAGACAGACGAGCCGTACTCAAGTATTGGCCTTATTATGGAAGAGAACAGACGGATGGCAATCTCTTCAGACCAAGTGCAGAAGCTGCGTCTAAGTGCCCAAAGCAGGCGTAGTCCGTTTGCGTACAGTCTGTTCGTGTTGTCGACAGACTTCAGATCACAGCGTGAAAGTACGCCTAGATCCTTTACGGAGCTGGTGGGATGCAACGGGTGGCCGGCCAGAGTGTACACATGCCCACTACTACCCTTCCCCATCCTCATAAACGAGGACTTGGCCGGGTTTACCGGTAGGTCAACTTCTGCAGACCACCAAGATACTCGGTCGAAGTCCTGCTGAGGGACGTCACAGTGGTTGGAGAATCAGTAACTCTCCAAGTCTTCAGGTCGTCTACAAACAATGCAAAAGATAACCGAAGAAGTTGAGGCACTTCCTTGATGTGGACCGGGAATAAAATGTGCCCTTTGGGTACACCGCTAGTGGAGGGTACCAGTCCGTTAGATAATCATCCACCTGTACCCGCCATCTTCTCCCCATAAGAAAGTCCCTGATCCACTGGTGCAGTGCACCATCAACACCACACATCCTCAGCTTGTGGAGCAGGACCTCATGGTTCACTTTCTCGAAAGCTTTACTGAAATCAATGTAGATAACATCCACTGACTTCCCCCGGTTCAACGCTTGCAACCATTCCTGCCGCGTCAACAGCAGGTTGGTGATGCACGAGCGGTCCTTCATGAAGCCGTGCTGTGCCGGCGCTAGTAGATCTTTCGACTCCAGCAGCTGGAGAAGATACTTTTTCACAATCTTCTCGAGCATCTTCGCCAAAACAAAGGTGAGACAAATCGGCTAGTAAGTATCCTCTGTATGGGTCACCGCCTTTTGGTATCGGCTTCACTACCGAGCGTTTCCAGTCACTCAACAATGCGCCCTCGGATAGCGATCGGTTGAACAGATCTGTCACGGCAAGCGACATGATGGTCGATAAGGACTTCGAAGTTAGCGAGTGAAGTCCATCGGATCCCGCAGGTTTCGTGTCGTCAAAGACATTTTCTACACCGCAATCCTGGCCCTCGAGTTCAGTAGGGGCTGCACACATCAAACGCGGCATAGGCACATGCCCACTAGTAAATACGGAAGCTAAGTGCTCCGTCATTGCGGACGCACCTACAATGCTGGAGGTCAGAGACTGTGCGTCAGTGCCCTCTAACACAGCTACGTCACTTGCGGTCCTCAGGTGCCGTTTCAGGTAAGCAAAAATTTTCTCGGGGACCGTCTTCGCTGAGGTTGCAAGATCCTCTTCGAACTGCCGACGCTGGGGGATGGGGTACTACCAGTCATAAGCGGAAGAACGATTACGACCTTACTCGAAAGCTTGACCACAATGCATCGGGAGATGTCTAAGATCCGGTCTTACAGTAATGAGTGTCGTCCGAGTTTGAGCCCAAATCTGTCCGATTTCTAGCTTCTGTGCTGGGAGTAGTTCCTAAGACAATCACCTAGTACGACTTAATGAGTTGGAGGTATGCAAGCAATCGCTCCACAATTCATCCAACTTTCTTAACCTGTATACGGGCAGTTTTCGTATCGCTTGTTCTATAGACAAACGGATAAGGTTTCAAAAGTTTATCGACACGCGGTGACACGTGAATAAAGACCGCTGAGGCTACTTTTATGGATCCGAGATGGTTGTTGCTCGCATCTAACTTTCGCGCCGTTCCCAGATATTATTCTCCCTGCTGTGCTTACTTTTTATTCTCATAGAAACTGGCCCACAGCGAATGGCACGAACTGAACAATCTTGATCCATACATCTCATCTTTGCTCCAACTTTCCCGCCACGACGAGCACAGAATGGCAACTAGTCCATCCCTATCAAGCGGTAAGCACGTTTCATTTCATAACCTACTTTCATTTATTTGATCATTTCCCTTCTTTCCCCTACTCAGGCATGCCAACTATCTGCTTCGACCTTTTCAATGTAGTATATCGGTTTCCCTCTCTTCCCACCTGTAGTCAATCTTGAATCTCACAAGATATTCTCCATCTCTCTCATGCCATGTTTCGTTCCACCGCTCTGCCAATCAGCGTGGTCCCTGGCACTAGTCATGTAACCCCTCCTCCTTTAGTACACTCCACTTCTCATATGCGAGACGCGAATCAGTCACTATTCATCGACCAAGGAGCAGCGCAAGCATTGTCTCATCCCGCAGCCAAGGTCCACATAACTAACGTTTGCGAAACTGGCGCTGGCGCTATGGTACACGCTATCGTAAACTGTGGGAGGGAGAGGTGCAGCTCTTATTCAGCACGGTGCCCTCACATTGGCACTAGTAATTGGGTAGTCCGCGCTCCGTTCGCACATCCTCTGGAGTAGGCTGAAATTGCTGAGCACACGCACTCGGACACCCATTATATTCCCCATTCGTCCTTACTCACTTGGGACATTGAGGAATGTACTCTTCGGCTTCCCTAGAAAGTATCTGTTTTTTCTAATCTGTATCAAATTGCTTGCTTTGATATGTACTAGCCTGGGTAAAAGTAGATAGCTTCGCACAAGGCCAGATGACGTGCCCGTGATTTACATTGACATCAGCTAAGTGTCGCACTCGTCTAGCAGCTTCGCTTGGGCCGAGGTCACCTGTGAAGGAGGCCTGATGAATGTAGGGCAGCAAAAAGAAAACAAACCACGAATCTGGGGTATTGAGTGCTGGTGTTTATTTTGATTTTAATCACTTTTAAATCCTTTCACTGACATTCGAGAGGTCGGCGGAAGTTCATTTTCAGTAGTTTACTAAGAAAGACGTTTGTGTGTAGTTCCCCTCTTTGAGGTATCTGTGCTAAACCTTTCTGTTTGAATTATTTCCTAGGATGCATCTTTTGCCGGTAGTTTACACAGATAACTCTCAGACCCATATTTCGATTGTGGTACATCGCTTCTACTCTTCACTTGAAGTTTCTGATGGTACGATTAAATAGCACCACCAATTTGCTTGTATTATCGCTACATCATAGGTATATCCTTTGCTGTGTCTGTTCACACAAATACTCGTCGCATTGTAAACCTTTTTACTGCTCCATCTTTTTGGGATTCCAATCATTGCAATAATCCATCTAATTTTTTGTCCCTGTAGTATTTTACGCGGACGTCGAGAGGACCGAGTGGTGGGCCCGTTTTATTCGCGTTGCGTGGTTACATCGACTGCGGGATTCGGACCCCTGCTATGCTAGCGAACGCGCGATGATTCATCGCCCATCCAGAGGCGTCATCGGCTGCCTACACGCTGGGCACCTGGCTGAATCCATTTGGCTCGCTTCCAGGTCAGCCCGAGTTCGTTAAACGACGTTGGTCGTCTCATCCATTCCCGTTGGTCATGAAATACGGGCGGTAGGAACGCTGTTCATTCGGCTCAGTAGTCGGGGTACTGGGTCCGCAGCTATGAAGTTGGGACTCCATCCGAACAATCTCATTAATTGTAAAACTGGTTAGGGGGCACTATGCTGACAGCAGTTCGCTCAATGGCGCACCCAATTCAGATTTGATCCTGACATTCGTGGTTTACCTCACATCTAATCATGATTCCAAACGGCATGTATTTCAATGTAAAACATGCGCGCTATCCAACTTTCGCTTTGTAATACGCACAGGAAAAGGTTCAAATCAACACACTGCTGATGTCACCTTGACTGGTGTCGAAACGTTTGCAGCAATGTTGCCAAGCTCAGAGAACAGTTCACCTAACAAACTAACAACCTGGACTACCTACATTTGGTTTTATATTAAAATGGACACCGGAGATAGCACACACTTTTCTGGTTCGACCCCGCAGACTACGATCCATCAAGCATCGCTAGGTTTGAACTTCGGACTTTTCATTAGTATTTGAATGAACTTGAGGATACAGCCACTCAATATGTTCGAACACGCAGTCAAAACCGTATGGATTTGTCAGCTCTATCGATCTTTGTGCTATGGACCTGAACCTTGACTACTAGGTGAGTAAACCAAAACTACGTAACCACAGGAATGATCAAAACCACTTCATACATGTAGTGAACCTGGCATATCTGCTCGGCTATTGCCTATGTCATTCGGGCAAAATAGCCACAAACTATAAACCGCATTTCGGTTATCCGCAAGTCTACTTTAAATAGGCTTTTTAATCGGATGCTAAAATATCTTTATCCGTTTTAACTACTCACGCTCATATGTACTTGTGACATTGCGATAGTATTTACATCAGCTACTCTGGAAACACAAGTTCGCTTGCTTCATTCGCTGTCGTTGCTAACCTCCGATCAGCCTTATGTCAAATGTAGTGCAACACATCGTGGCGCTGTGTGAAGGCGATGCCCATTTTCATGTCTATCTAGCGCTTATGTGCTCATCTCCACTACTGCCGTTGCTGCCCTGCTTTTGTCAAACATCTATCAGGCGGCGTCGCATCGATCCCCCCCACCTTGTGCAACACTCCAACACAACAAGTGTGCTGTTTTGTATTGATGCTTACAGTCAAACGGAAAGACATAGCAGCTGTCTCTATGTTCGCAGCGTATCAACGCTTATGTTTAGACAACTAATGTGCACCCTAGGACTGCCTGTGTTCGAGAGCCAATCTGCACTACGGGACTCGCTACAGCGTCTCTCTGCAGGTGTAAGACCAGCAAGCGTCCGTTAGCATCCTCAATCTCGTGCGATAAAATCCACCATTCATAAGATTGGCTTCAAAGTGTTGTCAGTATCAGAGCAGCAAAATTTAGAATTGAAGCCGTTTGCTTCCGCGACATACGATGGGCTGTTACACGGAGACATGAAGCGTGATCTCATTTGATACCCATGCCGATTGTATTGCCATTTAACCCTATTGCGCATGCAATTCGAGACGCAAATCACAGGTGAGATGAACAACTGCTTAGTCAGTAATTAGTATACCAGTGCCGTGAATGAGACCTTGTCGCAACTCGATAGAACTTGTGTTCTGGGTTGGGCAACCAGGTAGTAACTTGTCCTCTCATGAAGCCACAGACCCCTATGTGTTGCGTTTTCTTTCACGGCATCTGTACCTTCCCTTGAGCTTCATAGCTTTTGATGGCTCCATGTGTATTCGTAGACTATATATATACAGTGGATTCCGGTTAATCGGACCACATCGGGACCAGACCATTTTGGTCCTATTCAGCGGCTGGTCCGATTAACCGAATTTACCCGATGTAACAAGATGGGACGTGCTATACATAACATAGGAAACTACTATTATGACCTTTATTGGCGGCATATATTTATAGCAAACACACAAAAAGGAACTGCTTTGATAACGAACTTTGTTCACTGAAAAAGAAATTTACAAACAAATTCTACGTAACGACCTACAAGATATTCAGCATGCAAAGTACAGTTTTATACAAAGGGATTACCGATTCCCATTCAGCGCTTGAAGACTGTATCCAGTGTGGTTTGACGCATTATTTTAACAGACTGCATTCGCACAAAATCACCACAAACATGTAACGCAGTAATAGGACTACCTTCATTTCCTTCCTGCATGAAATAGTGGTGCAATGTTTCAATGCATTTCCTTGCATCCTGTTTTGTGACTGGCATCAACACGTTAGGGTTCTCTTCATCACTTCCATGGTCTTCTGTTGCTGTCGTGTGTTTCGCTGCTATTCGAGCAACAACGGCAGCATCGCATTCTTCATTTCCATTATAGAGTTGAAGTTCGTTGTCGATCGACAAAAATTCTTCGTAATTTTCAACTTATTTCTGCTCCACATTCTTGCCGTCATTTTCATTTACAATCACCATATCCACATCCATCTCCGAGACAATATGCTTAAAGCCACAGTGAGAAAAAACAGTTCCGAATTGTCGCACTGCTCATTTTTCGCCAACATTCGGCCACGAATGTAACGGCTTGCAAAATGTTGACCTTTGCACTGATTTCTCCGGCCGTCGAGGATGAGGTCAGCAAGCCTTCCTCAATTGATTCAAGGATGTATTTCACCAACCTTGAACGATAAAAGGTCCTCAAATTTTTTATGATGCCCATGTCCATTGTCTGTATCAAAGATGTGGTCTTGGGAGGCAGAAATTCCATCTGGATATTCTTCAAGAAATCCAAATTTCAATGCGCTGCACAATTGTCGAGAAGTAATAACACTTTTCTCGACTGCCGTTGTAGCTCTGTGTCCCAATCCTTCACCCATTCTTTAAAAAGTGTAGAGCTCATCCATGCATTTCTGTTCGCACGATACACAACTGGTAAACTGTCCATTCTGACTCCCTTAAAGCAGCGAGGCTTGGCACATTTTCCTATAACCAGCAACTTCCCCTTGTCTGTTCCGGACATGTTTGAGCAGCACAAGACAGTTACGCGGTCCATTGCTTTTTTGTAGCCAGGGAGAGTAACATGTTTGTAACTTAAGGAGCCGTCCGGTGTAGCCCTATAGTACAACCCGGTTTCATCAGCATTATAGATGTCATCTGCTGGAAATTTTTCAAGAAGCTCTGGTAGTTTCGTTGATTTCCATTCTTCAGCTCGAGCGCTATTAGCACTTTCTTTCTCACCATGTGCTTTCTTAAATTTTACATCATGTCTAGATTTCCATCGAGACAACCAGCCGTCCGTAGCTATAAAATCTTCGTGGCCCAGCATTTTAGAGAGTTCTTCTGCTTTGTATTTTAACATTGGGCCACTTGCTCGCACGGCTCGTCCAGTAACAAAGGCAAACCAATCATTAAGGGCCTCATCGACGTCTGGATCCTTGCCTTCACTCTTCCGTTTTTGGGAAGTACCTCGTCGTCCTTCACACCGTGCCCATTCTTCTCGCAGATCTTTCTCTTCTTTTATCAGGCGCGATATTGTAGATTTTGCCAAGCAGGTAATTTCCACCAATCGACGCTGACTAGTGGTTGGTCCCTGTTCCTTGATCTGATCTAGGAAACGAATCTTCTCAGCTAACGTCAAGTCCCGTCGTGGCATTTTCTTAACATGCAACATGACACGCACAGTTCACTGAGGTGAACTCCAGTCTGTCTCCCAGGTATTTCTATGGTTGACCTAGCCACCTGCTGTCCTATGATTTGCCGGACCTGTGTGTCCGCGATCACTTGCGGTGCTCGAGCGTAGGCCCGCAATGCGGGCTCAGGGCATTCGGCTCAATGGACGTGCGGTACATCGATCGAGCGGTTAACGATATGTGAACAAGCATGTATGTCTTCGCTCCGCCTACAAGTGTTGGAAACTACAGTCAGTTTCGGGCGGTTCTGAAGCCAATTAGATAGATGTGCCTCAAGGTTGCCACAGTTCAGTTTATCCAAAGGCCAACTCGGATTACCGTAACTGAATGATACGCTTTCTTGCCCGACATATGAACTGTGGGTTTAGTCCAGAAATCCAGGCCCATAACTTGATTTTAACACCTCTGTTACCTGCCACCTTCTATCGTCTGGTCCGATTAAGCGGAATTCCGGTCCTAATAAGCGGCTAAAATTAGGCTAGCGTAATAGGATTCGTTTCGGTTCTTCAGAATTTGGCCCGAATAAGCGGCTGGTCCTATTAACCGGTGGTCCTATTAACCGGAATCGACTGTATATATATATATATATATATATATATATATATATATATATATATATATATATATATATATATACAGTCGATTCCGTAAAGTACACCGTAATAGGACCAGCCGCTTATTCGGGCCAAATTCTGAAGAACCGAAACGAATCCTATTACGCTAGCCTAATTTTAGCCGCTTATTAGGACCGGAATTCCGCTTAATCGGACCAGACGATAGAAGGTGGCAGGTAACAGAGGTGTTAAAATCAAGTTATGGGCCTGGATTTCTGGACTAAACCCACAGTTCATATGTCGGGCAAGAAAGCGTATCATTCAGTTACGGTAATCCGAGTTGGCCTTTGGATAAACTGAACTGTGGCAACCTTGAGGCACATCTATCTAATTGGCTTCAGAACCGCCCGAAACTGACTGTAGTTTCCAACACTTGTAGGCGGAGCGAAGACATACATGCTTGTTCACATATCGTTAACCGCTCGATCGATGTACCGCACGTCCATTGAGCCGAATGCCCTGAGCCCGCATTGCGGGCCTACGCTCGAGCACCGCAAGTGATCGCGGACACACAGGTCCGGCAAATCATAGGACAGCAGGTGGCTAGGTCAACCATAGAAATACCTGGGAGACAGACTGGAGTTCACCTCAGTGAACTGTGCGTGTCATGTTGCATGTTAAGAAAATGCCACGACGGGACTTGACGTTAGCTGAGAAGATTCGTTTCCTAGATCAGATCAAGGAACAGGGACCAACCACTAGTCAGCGTCGATTGGTGGAAATTACCTGCTTGGCAAAATCTACAATATCGCGCCTGATAAAAGAAGAGAAAGATCTGCGAGAAGAATGGGCACGGTGTGAAGGACGACGAGGTACTTCCCAAAAACGGAAGAGTGAAGGCAAGGATCCAGACGTCGATGAGGCCCTTAATGATTGGTTTGCCTTTGTTACTGGACGAGCCGTGCGAGCAAGTGGCCCAATGTTAAAATACAAAGCAGAAGAACTCTCTAAAATGCTGGGCCACGAAGATTTTATAGCTACGGACGGCTGGTTGTCTCGATGGAAATCTAGACATGATGTAAAATTTAAGAAAGCACATGGTGAGAAAGAAAGTGCTAATAGCGCTCGAGCTGAAGAATGGAAATCAACGAAACTACCAGAGCTTCTTGAAAAATTTCCAGCAGATGACATCTATAATGCTGATGAAACCGGGTTGTACTATAGGGCTACACCGGACGGCTCCTTAAGTTACAAACATGTTACTCTCCCTGGCTACAAAAAAGCAATGGACCGCGTAACTGTCTTGTGCTGCTCAAACATGTCCGGAACAGACAAGGGGAAGTTGCTGGTTATAGGAAAATGTGCCAAGCCTCGCTGCTTTAAGGGAGTCAGAATGGACAGTTTACCAGTTGTGTATCGTGCGAACAGAAATGCATGGATGAGCTCTACACTTTTTAAAGAATGGGTGAAGGATTGGGACACAGAGCTACAACGGCAGTCGAGAAAAGTGTTATTACTTCTCGACAATTGTGCAGCGCATTGAAATTTGGATTTCTTGAAGAATATCCAGATGGAATTTCTGCCTCCCAAGACCACATCTTTGATACAGACAATGGACATGGGCATCATAAAAAATTTGAGGACCTTTTATCGTTCAAGGTTGGTGAATTACATCCTTGAATCAATTGAGGAAGGCTTGCTGACCTCATCCTCGACGGCCGGAGAAATCAGTGCAAAGGTCAACATTTTGCAAGCCGTTACATTCGTGGCCGAATGTTGGCGAAAAATGAGCAGTGCGACAATTCGGAACTGTTTTTCTCACTGTGGCTTTAAGCATATTGTCTCGGAGATGGATGTGGATATGGTGATTGTAAATGAAAATGACGGCAAGAATGTGGAGCAGAAATAAGTTGAAAATTACGAAGAATTTTTGTCGATCGACAACGAACTTCAACTCTATAATGGAAATGAAGAATGCGATGCTGCCGTTGTTGCTCGAATAGCAGCGAAACACACGACAGCAACAGAAGACCATGGAAGTGATGAAGAGAACCCTAACGTGTTGATGCCAGTCACAAAACAGGATGCAAGGAAATGCATTGAAACATTGCACCACTATTTCATGCAGGAAGGAAATGAAGGTAGTCCTATTACTGCGTTACATGTTTGTGGTGATTTTGTGCGAATGCAGTCTGTTAAAATAATGCGTCAAACCACACTGGATACAGTCTTCAAGCGCTGAATGGGAATCGGTAATCCCTTTGTATAAAACTGTACTTTGCATGCTGAATATCTTGTAGGTCGTTACGTAGAATTTGTTTGTAAATTTCTTTTTCAGTGAACAAAGTTCGTTATCAAAGCAGTTCTTTTTTGTGTGTTTGCTATAAATATATGCCGCCAATAAAGGTCATAATAGTAGTTTCCTATGTTATGTATAGCACGTCCCATCTTGTTACATCGGGTAAATTCGGTTAATCGGACCAGCCGCTTAATAGGACCAAAATGGTCTGGTCCCGATGTGGTCCGATTAACCGGAATCCACTGTATATATATAGTCTACGAATACACATGGAGCCATCAAAAACTATGAAGCTCAAGAGAAGGTACAGATGTCGTGAAACGCAACACATAGGGGTCTGTGGCTTCATCAGAGGACAAGTTACTACCTGGTTGCCCAACCCAGAACACAAGTTCCATCGAGTTGCAACAAGGACTCATTCACGGCACTGGTATACTAATTACTGACTAAGCAGTGATAGGAATGCCTCACTAAATAGTTGTCAGTTCATCTCACCTGTGATTTGCGTCTCGAATTGCATGCGCAATAGGGTTAAATGGCAATACAATCGGCATGGGTATCAAATGAGATCACGCTTCATGTCTCCGTGTAACAGCCCATCGTATGTCGCGGAAGCAAACGGCTTCAATTCTAAATTTTGCTGCTCTGATACTGACAACACTTTGAAGCCAATCTTATGAATGGTGGATTATATCGCACGACATTGAGGATGCTAACGGACGCTTGCTGGTCCTACACCTGCAGAGAGACGCTGTAGCGAGTCCCGTAGTGCAGATTGGCTCTCGAACACAGGCAGTCCTAGGGTGCACATTAGTTGTCTAAACATAAGCGTTGATACGCTGCGAACATAGAGACAGCTGCTATGTCTTTCCGTTTGACTGTAAGCGTCAATACAAAACAGCACACTTGTTGTGTTGGAGTGTTGCCACAAGGTGGGGGGGGGATCGATGCGACGCCGCCTGATAGATGTTTGACAAAAGCAGAGCAGCAACGGCAGTAGTGGAGATGAGCACATAAGTGCTAGATAGACATGAAAATGGGCATCGCCTTCACACAGCACCACGGTGTGTTGGCACTACATTTGACATAAGGCTGATCGGAGGTTAGCAACGACAGCGAATGAAGCAAGCGAACTTGTGGTTCCAGAGTAGTTGATGTAAGTACTATCGCAATGTCACAAGTACATATGAGCGTGAGTTGTTAAAACGGATAAAAATATTTTAGCATCCGATTAAAAAGCCTATTTAAAGTAGACTTGCGGATAACCGAAATGCGGTTTATAGTTTGTGGCTATTTTGCCCGGATGACATAGGCAATAACCGAGCAGATAAGCCAGGTTCACTACATGTATGAAGTGGTTTTGATCATTCCTGTGGTTATATAGTTTTGGTTTACTCACCTAGTAGTCAAGGTTCAGGTCCATAGCACAAAGATCGATAGAGCTGACAAATCCATACGGTTTTGACTGCGTGTTAGAACATATTGAGTGGCTGTATCCTCAGGTTCATCCAAATATTAATGAAAAGTCCGAAGTTCAAACCTAGCGAGCTGATCGTAGTATGGATCGTAGTCTGCGGGGTCGAACCAGAAAAGTGTGTGCTATACTCCGGTGTCCATTTTAATATAAAACCAAATGTAGGTAGTCCAGGTTGTTAGTTTGTTAGGTGAACTGTTCTCTGAGCTTGGCAACATTGCTGCAAACGTTTCGACACCAGTCAAGGTGACATCAGCAGTGTGTTGATTTGAACCTTTTCCTGTGCGTATTACAAAGCGAAAGTTGGATAGCGCGCATGTTTTACATTGAAATATATCCCGTTTGGAATCATGATTAGATGTGAGGTAAACCACGAATGTCACGATCAAACTTGAAGTGGGTGCGCCATGGCGCGAACTGCTGTCAGCTAGTGCCCCCTAACCAGTTTTACAATTAATGAGATTGTTCGGATGGAATCCCATCTTCATAGCTGCGGACCCAGTACCCTGACTGCTGAGCCGAATGAACAGCGTTCCTACCGCTCGTATTTAATGACCAACGGGAATAGATCAGACGACTAACGTCGGTTAACGAACTCGGGCTGACCTGGAAGCGAGCCAAATGGATTCAGCGAGGTGCCCAGTGTGTAGGCAGCCGATGACGCCTCTGGATGGGCGATGAATCATCGCGCGTGCGCCAGCAAAGCAGGGGTCCGAATCCCGCAGTCGATGTAACCACGCAGTGCGAATAAAACGGGCCCACCACTCGGTCCTCTCGACGTCCGCGTAAAATACTACAGGGACAAAAAAATTAGATGGATTTTGCAATGATCAGAATCCCAAACAGATGGAGCAGTAAAAAGGTTTACAATGCAACGAGTATTTGTGTGAACAGACACAGCAAAGGATATATCTATGAAGTAGCGGTAATACAAGCAAATTGGTGATGCTACTTAACCGTACCATCAGAAACTCCAGATGAAGAGAAGAAGCGATGTACCACAATCGAAATACGGGTCTGAGAGTTATCTGTATAAAGTGCCGGCAAAAGATGCATCCTAGGAAATAATTCAAACAGAAAGGTTTAGCACGGATATCTCAAAGAGGTGACCAACACACAAACGTCTTTCTTAGTAAGCCACAGAAAATGAACTTCCGCCGACCTCTCGAATGTCAGTGAAAAGATTTAAAAGTGGTTAAAACCAAAATAAACACCAGCACTCAATACCCCAGATTCGTGGTTGATTTTCTTCTTGCTGCCCTACATTCATCAGGCCTCCTTCACGGGTGACTCCGGCCCAAGCGAAGCTGTTAGACGAGTGCGGCACTTAGCTGATGTCAATATAAATCACGGGCACGTCATCTGGCCTTGTGCGAATCTATCTACTTTTATCCAGGCTAGTACATATCAAAGCAAGCAATTCGATACAGATTAGAAAAAACAGATACTTTCTAGGGAAGCCGAAGAGTACATTCCTCAATGTCCCAAGTGAGTAAGGACGAATGGGGAATATAATGGGTGTCCGAGTGCGTGTGCTCAGCAATTTCAGCCTACTCCAGAAGATGTGCGAACGGAGCGCGGACTACCCAATTACTAGTGCCAATGTGAGGGCACTGCGCTGAATAAGAGAGCTGCACCTCTCCCTCCCTCAGCTTACGACAGCGTGTACCATAACGCCAGCGCCAGCTTCGCAAACGTTAGTTATGTGGACCTTGGCTGCAGGATGAGACAATGCTTGCGCTGCTTCTTGGTCGATGAATAGTGACTGATTCGCGTGTCGCATATGAGAAGTGTAGTGTACTAACGGGGGAAGGGTTAAATGACTAGTGCCAGGGACCACGCTGATTGGCAGAACAGTGGAACGAAACATATGGCATGGGAGAGATGGAGAATATCTTGAGAGATTCAAGATTGACTACAGGTGGGAAGAGAGGGAAACCGATATACTACAGTGAAAAGGCCGAAGCAGATAGTTGGCATGCCTGAGTAGGGGAAAGAAGAGAAATGATCAAATAAACTAAAGTAGATTATGAAATGAAACGTGCTTACCGCTTGATAGGGATGGACTAGTTGCCATTCTGTGCTCGTCGTGGCGGGAAAGTTGGAGCAAAGATGAGATGTATGGATCAAGATTGTTCAGTTCGTGCCATTCGCTGTGGGTCAGTTTCTATGAGAGTAAAAAGTAAGCACAGCAGGGAGAATAATACCTGGGAACGGCGCGAAACTTAGATGCGAGCAACAACCATCTCGGATCCATACAAGTAGCAGCGGTCTTTATTCACATGTATCACCGCGTGTCGATAAACTTTTGAAATCTTAACCGTTTGTCTATAGAACAAGCGATACGAAAACTGCCCTTATCCAGGTTAATAAAGTTGGATGCATCGTGGAGCGATTGCTTGTATACCACCGACTCATTAATTCGTACTAGGTGATTGTCCTAGGAACTACTCCCAGCACAGTAGCTAGAAATCGGACAGATTTGGGCTGAAACTCGGGCGACATTCATTACTGTAAGACGGGATCTTAGACATATCCCGATGCATTGTGGTCAAGCTTTCGAGTAAGATCGTAACCGTCCTTCCGCTTATGGCTGGTAGTACCCCGTCCCCCAGCGTCGGCAGTTCGAAGAGGAGCTTGCAACCTCAGCAAAGACGGCCCCCAAGAAAATTTTTGCTTATCTGAAATGGCGCCTGAGGACCGCAAGTGACGTAGCTGTGTTAGAGGGCACTGACGCACAGTCTCTGACCTCCAGCATTGTAGGTGCGTCCGCACCGGCGGAGCACTTAGCTTCCGTATTTACTAGTGGGCATGTGCCTATGCCGCGTTTGATGTGTGCAGCCCCTACTGAACTCGAGGGCCAGGATTGCGGTGTAGAAAATGTCCGCAGTCTACTCGCCAGTCTTTAACGGCACGAAACTTGCGGGATCCAATGGAATTCACTCGCTAACTTTGAAGTCCTTATCGGCCATCATGTCGCTTGCCGTGACAGATCTGTTCAACCGATCGCTATCCGGGGGCGCATTGTTGAGTGACTGGAAACGCACTGTAGTGAAGCCGATACCAAAAGGCGGTGACCCATACAGAGGATACTTACTAGCCGATTTGTCTCACCTCTGTTTTGGCGAAGGTGCTCGAGAAGATTGTGAAAAAGGATCTTCTCCAGCTGCTGGAGTCGAAAGATCTCCTAACGCCGGCACAGCACGGCTTCATGAAGGACCGCTCGTGCATCACCAACCTGCTGTTGACGCGGCAGGAATGGTTGCAAGCGTTGGACCAGGGGAATTCAGTGGATGTTATCTACATTGATTTCAGTAAAGCTTTCGAAAAAGTGAACCATGAGGTCCTGCTCCACAAGCTGAGGATGTGTGGTGTTGATGGCGCACTGCACCAGTGGACCAGGGACTTTCTTATGGGAAGAAGATGGTGGGTACAGGTGGATGATTATCTAACGGACTGGTACCCCTCCACTAGCGGTGTACCCCAAGGGCACATTTTATTCCCGGTACACATCAAGGAAGTGCCTCAACTTCTTCGGTCATCTTTTGCACTGTTTGTAGACAACCTGAATACTTGGAGAGTTACTGACTCTCCGACTACTGTGACGTCCCTCAGCAGGACCTCGACCGAGTATCTTGGTGGTCTGCAGAAGTTGACCTACCGGTCAACCCGGCCAAGTCCTTGTTTATGAGGCTGGAGAAAGGTAGTAGTGGGCGTGTATACACTCTGGCCGGCCACCCGTTGCATCCCACCAGCTCCGTAAAGGATCTAGGCGTAGTTTCACGCTGTGATCTGAAGTCTGTCGACAACACGAACAGACTGTATGAAAACGGACTACACCTACTTTGGGCACTTGGACGCAGCTTCTGCACTTGGTCTGAAGAGATTGCCATCCGTCTGTTCTCTTCCATGATAAGGCCAATGCTTGAGTACGGCTCGTCTGTCTATTATCCTATCACAATAAGTGAGGTGCAGAGATTAGAACGAGTCCAGCATGTAGCTAATCCGACTCATCCTCAGTGTACGGAGTGTCGTACGAGGACAGATGTAGGAGACTAGGGCTTTATACTGTCATATCCTCGATTTCGAGTTGATCTCATTAGGACGCACCGGATACTGCATCTGGGCCACTTCCCTATGTTGAGTCCGCTGCGACACGTTCGCGCACCAAGCAGCACACGCGGACACCGGTACAAACTAGAGGTACGGGATTTAAAGCGCATCGCTCACCCTCTATGCGTCGAGTGGCGAAATATTGAAACAAGTTGCCGGGAACGCTAGTCGAGACGAAATCGGTGCCGGAATTCAAGAGATTTCTTGACGCCCACTTTGCGGACTACAGGTGTATGAGGAGCGTATCGCACCCGGATAAGATGTAGTGCAACTGCAATATGCTGCCACCGTGCAGGAATCAGCGACGTGCTTCCGTGCATGTGCTCGATCCACCTACAATGGAGCAACACAGATTTTTATCTTCTCGCTCTCCTTCTTCTGGTTATGTCGTGCTGCGTAGATAAGCGAAAACACTACTGTGGAAGCCTTGAGTTTTCCTTTTCCACCTGTTTCTGTTACTCCCCTCCCTATTTCGATTTAAAATATTCCTCCTGCAATCTGAATTTAACTGACGGCAATTGCAGCACCATTGAACATCTGCTACCTCTACAGCTATGGTCGCAAAGTACCCACTGGACTCTTATCATTAACAGCTCCTATCAAACCACACTGCTGTGTCTCTCTGGTGGTGTTCAGGGTTCGTACTCTGATGTCAACGGGCAACACGTGCAATATATTTACTGCTGGCGTCCTTCTTTTAGGACACTTTCTAGTGTGATTTATAGCATTGACTTATTCTATTACTCATAATTTCTTCCGTTACAATTTAGATAACACACATCCTCAGTATTTTGACATTATTTTAGCCGGTCAAGTACTTTAAAGGTTTTTCTTGTATAAATAAATAAATAAATGAGTATTTTACCCGACAGGCGGGATATGTTCCCTTTTGTGGTACGATCGTTTGTACAGCGAGTTTTGTCAACATTTTATTTGTGAACTTGCATCCAAAATGGAACAGTAATGCAATGTGTTGTGGAACGTGTAATAAATAAAATCATTGGTGAGTTAGTTTTTTCGTAGATTTTTTCTGGCCGGATTCCATAAGAACACTCAAAGTCAAAAAGTTTGATCACATTTAGCATGAAAAAAGAAGAAATGTGATGTAAACATGAGCAGACTCTCGTTGGTCCTTAATTGCAGCGGTAATTTGTTCCACAAATGGGCGTGCCACAGCCAGAAAAACTTCAGGCATATCTATTGAGTGGTTCTCTGTAAAAGTAGTCGACACTACCCATTACGAGGGGGAAGGGGGGTTGAAAAAGCCGAAACCGCTACAGTATCTAACTTTAAGTCACGAACGGTATACGCAGTTTGGAGTAGGGTTCCAGTGACTGATGGACCCTTCCGGTATACAGCATCTGTGTTTTAACTGTCGAAGCCCTATAGACATGCTTTCGCTCCATCTGTCTTTGCGTATATTTGTTATGCATAGTACCAGATAGTGTTGGATATGAGTACACTAGTTTGATGTCGTTCCAAAATAAAAATGAGCGCCCGTGTCTAATGTAGTCACATTCATCGTTTATGTAAATGAGGAAATGCAGTGGACCCAATACACTCCTCTGAACGACACCACTAGTGACATTTCCGGAAGCAGGACAATGTTGACCTGTCCGTACTCTGTGTTCGGTCGTTTAGATATGAGTCGAACTAGCTCAACAGAGGATTGCTGATCCCATAAGAGTGAGGTACGGCCAAGAATGGTTTATGCGGTACACAGTCAAACGCTTTTTGCAAATCAAATAGGATGGTTATCGTGACCATGTCACAAACAATTGTTACTGTAACATGATCAAGTAATTGTATTTGGTGTGGGACAAAGTAACGTTTTGTAGTGACCCCGTGTCATGAACTGCGGAGTAGGTTTTGTCTTGTCAGAAATTGAGTTGTCCGATTCTCGAAAAAATTTTCCAACACCTTAGAGACATCGGAAGAATGATTTATCGTTCACAATTATGGAAATTTTCCATTGATGCGGGAAGTAGTCAGTTTTTAGTGGCAGTTTACAAATGTTTGACATAAGAAGTACGTTTTTGTCACCTGATCTTATAGCTGCAGTGGGAATACTATCAGATCCCGGCTGGAATGTCAGTTTGATGGAGGTAATGGTAATCAGTATGTTCTTTAGACTCAAAGGAATAATACAGAGTACCTCATCCGTTTTTCTTGAAATTAGAGGAGAAGATGCAGATGATGTAGTATTGAACAAGGCGGCAAAGTAGGGATTCAACGATTAGCATATTTGGAATATATCGTCCCTTGTCATACCGTCATTCAAAATCAGGCTTTGAATTTCCTTGTGTCGTTTCGAATCCCTTCTTCTGAGTAACTGTATCAGGGTAAAAGCTTTCTCTGAATTCCTGATGACTGGGGTTTCCTCGGCGATTCTAGACTGGTGTGTTTGGTGTTCGAGTTTTATGTTTTGTGTATCTGAATTAATGTGGCGATGTCTGTTTTCGCAGTGCAGTGATTTCAAGTTGTCTCTTAGCTTTGAAGCGGTCTGCGGATATGGCCGAATCTGCTGTGGAAAAGAATCGGTCCCGCAATGGTTATATGATTACGAAGTAGCCCTTCAAACTGCTGATGCACTGCTGTTGTGGTTGGTGATGATGTCAATGCATGTATAGCTTTTATTTCATACGTGAAGCTGTGGGTATTGACGAAATTTCCGTCCGTCTGATGTGGCCACTTCAGCTACTAGCTTGACAGACTACTCATCGTCGGCGGTGGCAGTGGTGGTAGGGCGGAGCGAAGTAGTATAGTTAATAAGCCTGATACAACTAGGTGTATGGTTGGATTACATGCACACAATAGTCTTGAGCTCACGGAAAGTGAATGCGCGAAAAAATTACACAAACGCAATTTGATCTCCCATGGTTGAGTGCTGCTGGCTCCAAATAAGTCAACACTCATACTCCCGATCTCCACACCCCTACTCCCATCCACTTTGTGATTAGAGCCATGGAGTTAAGCACTGGAAAAGGATATATACGAAGGATACTGATACGAACAAAGGTAACCTAAGCAAAACACCTCGTTTCTGGTGCGCTA